CCCCCCCATATAACAATCGTTATCAACATGGAGGTCCCTCTGATAACGAGTAATCCCTGCGCGTATAGTTTTTCTCGCAAACCCATGTCTCGCACGTGTCTCTTGTCATTCTTATTTGCTAACTCTGCCATACTCTGCTGACAAATTCGAGTGCATTGTAAGCCAATACATTCTAAGGAATATTGTTTATAACAATAGTAACATTATTTACGCATTGGCGGGTATCATATTCTAGGCATGATAACGCTACAGTACCACGTGTACGTGAAAAATTGTGATTGCAAAAAGAAGTTATTAAAAAACGTGGAGAATAAAACATTTAGACCAATAATAAGCATTATCATGAAATTCTTTGAAATTAGTTATCAAAGTCTTTACGTTGATTAAACAAATAATTTCTATTTATAGAAAAAAAAAAATTCGGGGACCATTGCGATAGGGCAAACGCATTTAATTCGAGGATCATATTTCTTCAAGGTTTTTCTTACCTAATCGGTTTGCTAGTTGAGATGCTCTTAATATCTCGCAAGCAACCAATGACGTAAAGAGACGACCCCGCGGAGTCTAATGACACTAACGCTCATGGCAATCACCACACGCGTATCGCGTCGTGACCTTCCGAGGGGAACCTCCTACTACCACAAAGCCTCCGTTATGTTCAACAATTTTTTGGAATGTGTACTGTGAAAATTGTTAAGAAACACGTTCGCTGATTTCTGCTAAAATCAAATGTCTACAATACTGTCGTTACCACTAGGTATTTGCACGTGAACAGAACGTGATTGGTTCTAATCGCCACAGCCGATACGAAAATTCTGTGAGCGTGTGCGACCTCAAAATATTATGTAGGCATTATTTATTACTTGAAATAAAATGCATTTTTTATAATACAATGGTTTCATAGGATACTAAGTTAATTTTAGAAACCGTAAATACAATTTACTTGTAATTTAATCGCTCGTATGATAATTAAGTAGGGTTTTGATCATTAACAAATTTAGTTTTATATAAACGTGAAGGTGGGATTAGAAGCTTAGAGTCCAAACTTTATGTACGATGTTAACTCTATAAGTCGGAAAGATAAGGCAGCTAATCTAGCGAAGCAGACAAATATAGAATATCAACAAATAAACCAAAAGAAAGAAAGAAGCTACGTGACGACTAGATACAAAAATCTACGAATAACTAGTATATCTGTCCATTTAGAAATTCAGAACAATCGTTTTTTTTCCTTATAAAATATCCTTGTCGTTGCAAGAATCCAAACGCGAGTGTGATTTCAATAAATTAAGTAATTTTTCGACCATCCACGATGTTCCGCAAAATTCCTACATAGGTTATAATTTATATTTTTTTAGGAGAAACATTTTTTTTAAAAAAGATGAGAATTCTATCGAATCGTATTGGTAACAAAATTTGCTACGGCAGATAAAACGTATTCTCTTCTCCTCGATTAGCATTGAGGACTTTGTACGACTTATACCATTGGTTGCACATCTTTACTGTCTTGGCCAATCACCAATAGTCGTTCACTTTCTCGAGGTGGCATTTGTCGTTTTTAAGGGGGCCCGCCACAATATCGCGGGGGGGTAACCAGACATATCTGGTTATCGCTGGATTTCCCTTGACAGATAAGACGACCTGTAGACTTCAAGAAATGATTGGACGTCTTAAGATGTACAGGATGGTACAAAATAGAGCATTCGTGTTAGAACAAGATAGTAAGATTTAGAAAATATATAGCAAATACAAATACCTTTAACAAATACCTTTGTAGCCTACAGTAGCGTAATCTGCTGGGAAATAGGTCGAACCTTAATCCCTACAACTAGGTTAGATGATTATCTCATCTCTTTTTGACCGATCAGGAATAAAATGTTAGACGTTCTATCAATTTGGCATCAACCTCTATTCACAGTCCGTACGATGACGCCACTTGCGTGTCTATATGATGTTAAAATAATAATGATCTGTATTTGTGTGGGTGTGTCGATGTAGATTGGAATATCAAACAGTGGAAGTGGTAATGATGCAAACACTAGGTTAGTGTGGTGGGATCCAACCGAAGACAGGAATCCATATAAAAGGGGCGTCGATCATCAGCAATGTTAGTTTGACACTCATACCAGCAAGAAGAGTACCGTAGATAACATAATCACCAAGTTACCAGCTTTAACTTTTACGAAACTAGAAATTATTACCAGTCGGCTTTGAAATAGTTCATCGAACAGGGAGACGCAGAAGAGCTGCATACTTTCTTGCGAAAGCTGCAAGCTATAGCGGTTGCCATTATTGTTGACAGTAAAAAAAGCTTTTAAGAAAAATAGGACGAACAATTTTTGGGAAAATAAAGCTATTGTCTGCGAGAAACGTACTTTGAATGTAGCACGTGATCGCGGTGTGTCGAGCGTCCAGCAGCCATTTCGTGTGTGACGAGCGGACACTTGCAAGTGGTGAATTAGTGAAAAAGTGACATACTTACTAAACTTTAAGTAGTTTGCTTGAAAAATAAAATTTTCTCATTAAACAAAGGAAAGTACTCTTCAGCGTAAGCGACGTACAACAGCAACGTAACAACGTAACAAACGTCACGGAAAATTTCAAGTAGTTGGCGTGACGTCATCTAAGGAAATTACATCAATGTCTACCAACGGGGAAGCGTTTTCCTAGCATTAGGAATATAAATCATCAGTTATAATAAATCGCAGTTGTGTTTACTCTGTACTAAAGTTGTAGTATTTCCACCACAACGCACGTACAGTATTTCCGTATCGATCATCGTGATTGATCGTTGATCGTCGCGTCCGTGCGAAGCTTTAGTTAACATTATAACCGAGTGGGGCAGCACCGTCTTCCGAAAAGGGAGTATAGCCTATAATACGACAGCGCGCAAGAAAGACAATCCTTTTAAAACAATTGGGAACACGTGTTATGAATTGTTTGACTCGTACCAGCCTAGTGATGTTTTCCATAGAATACAGCAAGCAATTCTTGAGCTACCGTATACTCAAGTCCAACCGGTTCAAGTACATCTGACGATACGGACTCGGACTAAGTGTTAAATAAGTACGCAAAGTGTGTCAGCCGGCTAGGCTTCAGTTGCAGTGTGCTCTGAAATTATCATTCAACGTTCAATCAACGATTCAATCATTTAAGCAATCAAGCTGGAGTGTTCTGTATTATAACTGAACTATTGAAACGTACGCGGCAAGGCCTGGAACGTCTTGCTGTGGTCAAATTGAGCGTTGGAAGTAGCTAGCACAATTAACGCTATTTGATCGCTAAAGAATCCAACCCCGAAAGTCGTTAGTTAGACGAAGATTTCGGTGGCGATGTGCCCTAGCAACATCAGTCGCGATCATTGCTAAACTTCGGACTGACTCCATCATGCATACTGCAAACTTCTAAAGAAAATACTAGAAGCGTACTTATATAGAAATATATAAAGCGACGAATGAAGGCGTAATATCAATTTGTTTTTTTTAATTCTCAATAATGCTTTTATACGAAATATTCATAAAACGTTCCTAAAAAAGAGGGCATTCGTTTTCTATCAGCCGTTTTTTCGATTGCGGTTCCATATTCTCCTTCATATCATAGAAAGAGTCCACGACTATAATTTCTTAGATAAAAATACCAGACATATTCGGTATAAATTCCTATTGATGTAAAAAAAAAGAATCGGTTAGAAGGTATTCAACGTAAATTTCGTCTAATTTGAAATCGATATAATCAAATTATAAGATAAGTGTCGTCGAAAAAGATTTCCAATATTAAACACCAAGGTGGGATTAGATATATAATACATAAATCTGCAATTTTTGGCCATCGTTTGATAAATTTCGAAAAAAAAGTTTGCCCGTCAAACGCACGAAAATGATTGTTTATGTTCCGGGCAGAATGCCAACCCACGTTGGTCCGTACGGTGCGGCACGTTATCCCGGCACCTTGCTGGGAACGGTACCGGGTTATTACAGCCCGGTTTCCGGTTACTCGACAAGTCCAAATTCCACCTACTACACGAGCGGTGTACAACAACCGCCGGCCCTGGAGCTTCCGGTGTGGCCTTGCAGAATGCCAGCCGAAGAAGAGCTTGGATCTTCCCCTGGTGGTGCACTAATGACCCTAGGGAATTCCCCTGCAGGTCTAGGTACCGGTGGACCACCAAGTCCAGCTCACAGCGACTCTGATGCATCAAGTTCCAGTCTCGAATTAGGATCGGTTAGACGAGGTGAAAATGCTCAACTAAAATGCAGGTGAGTTATAATTTTATTGCACATCTAAATAGAAACTATGTAAATACAGATCTAGGGTTATTTAGTTATATGAAATACCAACGGTCTCTTCTATCGTTGCATTTATTAGCCGACAATTTAGTACCAACTTCTTGCCAACCTGCGCCTGTAAGTAAACAAATATTTTTATCGTGACGTTCAACAGACTCGAGAAAAAATTCAGGATGTCTCTCAGTATTAATTTACCGATATACACATCGCATGGTTTATGCACGTTGCACCGGTTTAAACCGGTTAGCCATGCTATCTTATGTTTTCATTACAAATACTGATACATATTTATCTTGACGTTCTCCATAAGTACAATATACTGGCAAGTAACTGAGTAGATAATATTTCTGTCTAAATCAAAAAAAAAATTTACGAGCAATTCTTATCAATTTGAAGAATAGCCTTCGATCCTACACATGAGATATTTTACACAATCAATATCCTACACTGAAATATTAAACACGTAAAATTTCCGCACAAAAATATTCTACACGTCATATTTTACAATACATGTTACACGGTGTGCCCTGGATACAATTTATTCTGCACATATTCTACACTTAAGTCTCCTACACTGAAAATAGTATATTATACCAAAGAAAAAGTGTGAATGGAAAGCTAAGCACTAACAAGTGTAATATTCGGATAACAAATTATTTCATGCAAACAACTGTGCACGATAGACTGTGGACCATTTTATATTTATCGACCTGAAGATTGTATGTATAGAAAATTGTGCACCACGGTTTAATGACCCTGTATGACCGATCAATACCTGTGCACAGAAAATCTTTACACGAAAAAATGTGCATACATATTTTTTAAAAACATTTATACGGATGTTTGAATCAATTTTAACCGTTACAATATTAAAATTCTAATCCAATCTAATCATTTATAAACCTATCGTAGCAATACGTTCTTTTGTCGGACTCGCTCGCCGGCGCTATTTTTATAACTAAAACACTATTAGACTCAGTAATAATACAGACGAATATATTTTATGGGAAAATTTTGCGCGTTTATTATTTTAGTGTAAAATATAGCATGTATAGGATCGAACCGTGTAAGATCGGGCACTCTCCGGCTGTTTGTTACCAACGCCATCCATTGTCTACATACGTCAATACAATCAGCGCCTCTAACGGACAATCAACAATGTGGTAGTCATTGACATTAATATCCGTATCGAATAATACGACGCAACTGAGAGATAGGCGTGGTAGACTTGTCGGATTTTATATATCAGATGCACGCAGTAGCCTCATGCTAGGTGAATACGTCTGGTGAACATGTTATCAGTTGCACGTAGAATCTAACTCTTTGGAAAGAGTAGTAAAAGATGGCTGACACGAAAAGAGCGTGACCCAAAACTGATATTATCAATATATGCAAAGTTGCCAACGGACCAATTGTGATTTATCATTTTACATTACACATGCATTTTTAGAATTTCCATTTCTCCTTGAAAAATTGAAATAAAACATATTTTTATATGACATATTTTTTCATTTCTTTACGTCAATAAAGTATCGTACGGCTACTGGATGGGGGAAAAAGTACTTCAGAGTAACGGACAGATGTGCGAGTTTCGCATTTTTATCCTAACCTATCGGAATGATTCGAGGTCAAAGGTCGATAATCAGTCTTTTTCGGGGTCAACGTTTTTTTTCCCTTTTCTTCTATTACTATTCAGCATTCCGAAGACACTTCAAGCATACGTCATACCTTATATTAATATACCTACTCTTAATATATTTTTAATTTTTCTTGCTTCTGTTTCTGCCAACTATAACAATTTTTCATTAGTTTGTTATCTGCGGGAGTCTGTTTATCTTTGAATCATCATTCTACTCTTCTTCCTCTTTATTGAAAAGTTTATTGCCGGGTTTCACCTTGATCTTTGATTCCGTAGACTTTTGCGCGCATGCCAAATTACCGAGGTCGCCACAAGCTGGCGCTGCCTTCGCCGTAGGTAATTGAAAATTCTACTTGAACAGAATGGGTCACTACATACCAATGCCAGATGAACTAGAGTCAAGCGGCACAATTGTAAAATGGAGAGAATTAACATCAGTTGCTTAGTACAATTTATTATGGCCAATGACGCAAATCCCGATGATCTTTGATAATTTATTAGGAACATCTTGAAAAACTGGCCGTCGGATTTTACGACCGCTAATAAGAAGTATTGAAGATTCGCCGAATCGTTTACTGCCTTTGTGTAAATATTAATTAATTCAATATTCAACTAATTTGCGACTTGAATGTTTTGAATTATTATCAGTATCACTGCTAGACTTTGACAGTGTAATCAAGGTGTCAGGTGAGATTATTGGCAATTAATACTTGTTTTTTCAATGAAATGTGAACGTCTTAATTGACGGTTTGTATTTTCAAGTGAAAAAGTGTGATAGTCACGGAAATTGTTAATGACGCACTTAGTGCATTTCGTGTCGCTCTTTTTCTATTGTTTTATCGTTTACCTACAAATGAGAAAGGATAACATAGTGAGAACTTGTATGTGCGTGCGCAAATTAGTTACATACGCACGTTGATAAGAGGCAAGCAAACACAGCCGCCGGTGGCAAGATACTCACAGGAACGAGTTTGAAATATCATGTAAGCTCGTGTTTGCACTCAACCTATGTGTACGAATCTTTTCAAGAGAGAAGAATGTAAAGAAAACTAACATGAAGACTGCCGTCCAGTAGTTTTTAGAAATATAAAAAATATTTACCATTTTCGTTCGATTCGTTATGGCTTGTACAGTATGGACTTTGCGCGATACCATTAACATCACGTCGTATCTTATCAATGTGTCTCATCAAAATTAATGAAGTAAGCACGATATGGAATGCCAATTAGTGTCACTAATTATAGCACTTCAATCATTCTTTATTTTTGTTTTTCTATAAATTTTTCATTAGTTAGTCACATTGTCAATATAATTTATTTTATTTAGCAGTTTATGAGCTCCTGTGGTTGCATTGGGTAATTTAAGGATTCCATTATACTTTCAGATGGACCAACTGTGGGCGATGGTTTACATCTTTGGAACAGCTTGCGGGTCATGTGGCAAGGTTACACGCTGCACCTGGTCCTCGAGGACTTTTTTATTGTGGATGGGAAGGATGCGCGCGCGGCGAACGCGGTTTCAACGCTAGGTGAGCTCTCTGATCATTACGAAATAAAATAATATAACTTGGCTGCAGACAAATTTATATTTGCAAAGCAGTCGAAGCTGCGAGCAAAATAAAAGCTCCCTCGTGCATTTTTCTTTATATTTATTTTTTTCCCTTTTTCTTCAGGTACAAAATGCTGGTTCACGTTCGCACGCATACCAACGAGAAGCCCCACCACTGCTTCCAATGTGACAAGAGTTTTAGTCGTGCTGAAAACCTGAAAATCCACGCCAGGTCTCACACCGGGGAACGGCCTTACGTATGTCCTGTCGAAGGATGTAACAAGGCTTATTCAAATTCATCAGACAGATTTAAACACACGAGAACCCACGCAGTGGACAAACCGTATTGCTGCAAAGTACCGGGATGCCCAAAACGTTATACGGATCCATCGTCCTTAAGAAAGCATGTTAAAACTTACCGACACTACGTCAACAACAACAACGACAAACTCCAAGAAAAGAGTTACGAGGAACCTACTGTTCAAGAAAAAGTACATTTCGAAACGCCGGAAAAACAAAGTGTACACTCAGAATCCGATAAGAAAGACTCTAGCATAGAGAGTAGTTCCGGTTCGAGTCCAAAGGCCAGTAACAGTTTTGAGGAACAACGAAAGTTCGTAGAATGGAACAACATGTATAACCTCAAAGAAACTCCGGAACTTCTAACACCTCCAAAATATGAACCCCAAGAGGTGAAGATTTATCCAAGGATTTACGATGAGAATTATATTATTCGTGAGAGGATTCAATCAACCCCCAGTTATGTACAAATTGTGAGTCAGGAGCCACCATCGCCAAGAACAACTCCTCGTATGCAATCGACACCAATAAAGATGGAGGAACATCCGGATCCAGTGATTAAGACGACGAGCACAGCCACTGTGGATTATCGAAACATTGATTCGATAGTAAATGGAACACCTTGTAAAAAGGATAATCCTGACCCAGTGAGGCATTCTGTTATTAAACGAGCAGATAATTTGAAGATGGAGGTGGAGCCACCTAGAGAGGAGACCAAAGAGTCTGTGGAGTGTTGTTGCAGACACAAATGTTGTGCCCACAGCAACGATAATATTCTAGAAAAAACAAAGATACTTTCGGACCTCATACTCAAGGCGCAAAATCCACTATTTCGACATCTACTTGGTTCGGTAGATTTGCAATATGGATTACAAAATATGTGGAGTAACATGGCGGACAATGCCAACACCTGCGGACAGGATCTTCGAGTCAAGAGTAATGATGGTGTCACTGATATGGAGCAGGAACTTCCTCTGGACCTGACAATTAACAAGTGATCCACAGACCAAATATTATTCTTATTCATAACGAGGTTTTCTTTCATGCTCCGGGGTCTAGCGGGTCTATATCTTGGTTCGGCATCCAAGTCTTTTGACACAGTCAGGCGAGTTATTAGCTCAGTTTTCGTTACGGCTGATGTATTCGAATTTTCGAAATAATCAACTTAATTCCATTGCAGGTAATACTTTGTTACAGAAAAGATCGATGTAAATTAGATTGTACCTAACTCGCTTGATTTTGTGCGTAAGATGAGAATCCGTTTCAAACGTTCTGATGAGATTGTAAAGCCAAAAAATATATATCTATACTATATATATATATATATATTGCATTTTTTAAATCGTTTCCATACAATCAATCAGAACCATTTTGTTAATCAAATACGATTTGCTCAATGTTAAGCCGTAGATTGTACTTGCCTTATTCTCTGTTTTTCAGTTCGAATACTTGACGAGTGCCACAATAGCCGTGTAATTAAAAGAAAGTTTCATTCGAAATGACAATGATTCTCGAGATTTCAAGAAGCGTTTTAATAATTTTACAGTACAACACTTTACCATGTAAGAATTTTTACATGAATCTTCGGTGTGCTGTGGTTAATATATGTACTACACGGGAACTGAGAATCTTGTTGAAGCATGAGAATCATGTCAGTTTCGGTTATGAAAATATGATGGCCATTATAAAATAGATTGAGACAGCGATAGATATATCCGGTGGTAATGGACTTGGGCTCCGTAGTACCGGTCGTACGCATGTAAATAATATATTTGAAGAGGAAAAAAAAAATGGAAAAAAATGATTTGTTTCCACGAGAAATTTTCGAATATATCCTTACGAAAATTTAAGAATGTTCATGTGTTCCATTCGAATTTGTTCGCAAAGCCTGCACTGAAATATCCTCTTATTTGCATTTTGCAAGATAATGTTATTTGCGTTCGTAAAAAAGAAATGTTCTTCCGAATATAATTTATTGATGTCAAATCTAAAAGTCAAGGCTTTAGCAACAAAGTCGAGTAAAGGATCTGCAATCACTGATTGTGCGCGTTTTCTATTGCGTAAGAGAGGAACTAAAAAAGATACGACCGGACCAAAAAAAAAAGGAAAAAGGCTGATAAAAGACATGAATAAATCGACGAAAAGAAATGTATAATGACGTGAAGCTATCCAATAAAGTATATTATTTATATGAAAAGAAATATTTACTTCATTAATTTATAATTAATGCTAATAATCTTAAATGGCTGCACCCCTAGTAATGGCTCGCGTGCGCTTTACATAAAAGAGTGCCATTGTTATTTTGTTTTTCATACGTTTCAACTTTAACCCTAGCAGATCTTAGCTATTTTTAGTGCCTTAGACCGTCACGCCTGATCTGTGATACCGAAGAGTTTCATTCCTCTAAAACTTCTTAACGCGATAACCGAATACCAAAAATGATTTACTTAAAAATTGTAAAACCTAAAAATAAACGAGCCATGGAAAATCTATGAGTATGCAGTGTTTCGTGGGAAAAATTCACTATTTTTTATTAGAAAAATTTAAAAAAATGGACTTTTAATTTTTCAAGAGGTCACTTGGAACCACTGAAAAATAATATACCGGTCTTATTCCTTGAAAAAAGTTAAATTTCTTAAAGAGGCGAATTTGAACGATTTCGGAAAAACATGACTTTTTCAGTACGCGAATAGTAACGGAAATCATTATGTAACTTCATTATAATTAAATATTATTTGTTAAATAATTATTTGATAAATAATGGAAAATATCGCAAAAAAGAATAGCAGAGCATGGGATAGTGAAATAATCCGTAAATATTCTGCTGCATAATATTTATTATACAACAAATATATTTTAAAGCGTTGAAAAATATAAAAATAAAAAGCACATATTCAGCTATTTAGCCCAGACAATTTAGATGTGTGTTCGGAGCACATTGACTTCCTGCACCGCCAAACACTGGGTATCGCGTCTTACGGCTGAAATGTGATGGGCACATTACACCCTTTTATTCTGCTTGAGCCTGTTTGACGCTTGTAAGTTGCGCGGATTTTCTTCTGGCCATCCGGTATAATGCTCTCGAATCACAATACTGCTGAAACAAAGCGCGATCGATATTTTCCATCGTTCTCGAACGAAGCTCCATGATATACTTGAAAAAAACTTACAGAAATGAAATATGAATTATAAGAAATAATTTCTCGTACTATAATTTTTGCATTCATATTTTTGGTTTTTAATTCTAATTTTATTTAATAGTTTATTATTGTTCTTTTAGAGGTAATAGCAATTGATGAAAAAACAGGTACTAACGATTTCAAACAAAATTGACGGCTCCGTCACACTATGGTCCCATGTTCCGCAATCTGATTAGTAATGTTTACAACTCGACTGTTATTGGGAAATTGATCTTATTGTGTTACATTGTTAAGGGACCGTCTAAAGTTTTTTCCCCCCCTCGTGTTTAGAAGCGCCTTACTATACTGGCATAGAAATAAAGGACCTTCGAAATTTATTCAGCTGCGGTATGATCGGCTAAGGTTAAATTGAAGAGTCAAAGTTTTAAGAATTATGAAAACTTTCTTTCTTGACAATAAAAAGTATTATGATACAAAATAAAGCACAGAATATTTCTGAAGCCAATTACATAATAACGCAACTGTAATTCTTAGGAGTCCGACTAAGACTATAATTAGTCTAAATTTGTTTTTTCGGCAGATAACAGTTAATTAAAACGAGGCGACTAGATGCCCCTCGCAGAATATATGTATAAATACAAGTATCTCAATCTTATTTTTGAATATTGCTATGCAGACCACAATGCACTTTATATATTTTGTTGAACTTAAAATTGAACTTTTCAGATATTTTATGTGTGCGCACGAAAATCGAGTGATGTCGTCAGAAGCACGGAATCTTTATAATTATTGTTCTCCTTAATTTCCTATTATATTATTAAATATTGACTCAACCAGTTTCCGAAAATGTTAAAGAGGGGTCGGCATTACGTCAACATCATTTTTATAGAATTTTCTTCAAATGCACTTAAACGAAGATAATCCCCCAGATTCCCTACCGTATAAAGGAGGGTGACTAAACTAATATTTTGATAAATTAATGAAAACCAAAGAGCAAAAAGGATTATAAAGCTTCCTTTACTTCTAATATTTCGTGCACATGCGCAAACATAGAAATGACAAAACAGCAGCCCTAAACATTGAATCAAGCCGAATGCTCGCTAAAATTTTAAATAATAACCGATGAGAAATAAGAATAACTACTTGTATCAAATATTTGAGATAAATTTCCATAGAGAATAGCCACTGACGCAAATCATTCAAACATGACGGTTTAAACATTTATTTAAATTATTGTTTCCACAGGAAACACACACTTTACTTCAGGATATACTGTGTCCCTCCAAGAGTTCCTCCATCCCGTCTTTGATTATTTTCAAATTCTCTAAATCTGTATTTATCGTTGATATGAGTTGCATCATTCCTTGTTGCTCCATGTTAAGATACTGCAAAAATTGAAAAATAACATTTTTTAATGTAAAATACATAGCCGTGTAGAAGTAATTGAAATAATGTCTACTCACAGTTTTGATGTCATCCTGAGCTATAGGATCCATAGTGTATCGCTCGTAATTCTGTGAGTCTATGTGCCTGCGCATTCTTAACTGTGATAGCATTTCGCTAATTCTCCCTTTAAATTGAGTCGGTGCGCTAATTTGTGAGTGCATCGCTTCGAATCTTTTCGTCAAGGCTTCCTCTTCAGGTTGCAATGAAAGTCCAGCCTTTCTGCTGATCTCTTGACGAACTAGAACCTGCATTACCAAAAAAGATATTTATTCGATTTTTTAAAATTAATAATTGCTATGTAGAGTTTTATAAAAGCATAAGTATGCCTACTTGAAGAACTCTATGCTGTAACTCTAATAATGTCCTCCTGTGTTCCTTGAGTCTGGCTTGTGTAGCGGTATGTTGTCTTTGAAGACCCTGAATTCTTTCAGCTGCTAAATCCAGGAATGCCCTGTGTCTGGCAGTCTCTTCCTCTTGACATTTAAGTCTGTTTTTTACTTGTTGAAAGCCAATCATTGGTACAGGGATATAAAGTTCAGGATTAGGATTGTCTAATTGTGCCTGCTTCCACAATCTGGGATCTATCGAGCAGGGTGGGTTGTCCAAATATTCCTTGAGTTGAGATGGATCTAGTTTTACATGGGCAAATATATTTTCCACGCCCATCTGTGTCAGCTGCATTTTTTGCATTGTCTGACTCAAATAAGCCACTAGTTCGTTTGCTGGTATCTTTCTGGATGACCCTGTCACTCCCTTTTCCAAAACAAAAATTGTCACTTGACCTTTGCCATCACCCATTGCCTTCACGCTGTCAATTGTCAGGGTGAGATTTGGTTTATTTCCCAATATACCATTTAGCGACGCTATTATCTGTTGCTTGCCATCCTTGAGTTCTTGTTCTTTTTTATTAAAGCAAAGAACAACAAGACCGTCATTGTTGTCAGCATCTGGCATACGACTATAGCCAATAGCTTTGAATCTACAAAGAGGATTCTCCTGTGTCAATTCTATTGGCGCTGCTGTCGCTGAATAATAAGCCTTTCCAGTTCCCCATAAGGCCTGAATTAGATTCCACCGCGCTATAGTGTTATCACGTTCGTCATTAAATAATTGACAGTTGAATACCGCATTATACAAAGCCTCTGTAATGGAATTGGCTACTTGTTGTTGTTGTTGCTGTTGAGTTTGTGGTTGAGCTAGGGTGCTGCCAAAGCCGGCAAATCCGCTACCAAAACCACCAAATCCAGTAGATGCACCGGTAGTAGCCGGTTTAGCACCAAATCCTCCAAAACCAGTAGAAGCATTAAATCCTGTATTGCCTGAACTTGCGGTACCAAATCCGCTGAAGAGACTGGGCGTCGACGTTGTTGCAGTGTTACCAAAACCACCGAATCCACCGAATCCTGTTACATTTGTTGTCGAGGTCGTTCCAAGTGCACCTAATCCACCAAATCCAGTTGACGAAATTGATGTGTTGCCAAATGTGCTGCCACCGCCAAAGCCTGTGGTTCCTGTGGTGCCGAAAGTACTGGTACTAGTAGTGCCTGTTCCAAATCCAGTTGCTGCCGGTGTTGCAAATGGTGTTCCAATTCCAAAACTTGTGGACTGAGTTGCAGGTGTACCAAAGGCACTAAGAGCTGCTGTAGATGTTACTGGTGTACCAAACCCAAAAGATGTTCCGAAACTACCTGTTTAAAAGAATATTCTATGAATTTGGGTTATATTTTCTCAATATTGTTTGATTTTCTTATTAGACAAAATAAAAGACAAAAGTTATGTTAGTTAAGTTAACTAATTCTGGAAATCTAAAATTCTTTGAAAATAAGTTCAAAAGAAAAATTCATGAGATAGTTATAGATTTCATATGTCATGCAATATGATATTCTTTTGTTTCAAAAAAGTAAGCTGTTATATGCCCATAGCATAAAAGAGTTATTATAGAAATTTACTGGAGAAATTATGTCTTTTTTAAGTCAGAATAATCACTGGATCGTAAGTATTTTGTAACATAGATTAACTTACTGAAAGAATATATGTTTATTCTTCGTACCAGCAAAATTATTATCGATTATCGCATAACATCCCAAGAGAAATGGGTGAGGTTACTGACACAACAACAGATCATGTAATATATTCTACATATTCTGATGAACCTACACAAGTGTTAAATGAAGAAGGAACAACTTTTTCAGCTATTGGAGTAACCTTTTTTTTAAATTAAATCAAATATAAACAATACTGGAATTACTGAACAAAGTTTAAAACTGGAATACAATTTTATAGGATGTAACTGCAGAAACTATGCTAACAACACCAGGAAAAATACCAAATGAAATGTATGAATTAGAAGAATCAAGTACAATAGAGCATAAAACAGAAACCACTATAGAACAAACCTATCCAACAATGGCAATTACTACTGAAGATTTTACTGACGAAACACAAACGATTAATACAGATGATTACAAAACAACTACTGAAGAAACTGAAACAGAAATTGCATCTGATTTTACTACTCATTCTACTATTTTCGTAATCCTTGCAATTGTATTAGTGACGGTAATACTGCTATGCTGCATTATAGCATATTGCATTTCACGTGTCAGAAGAAACAACTGCAATTATTTCAACAAGGATGATATTGAATGTGATCCTGAATGCACTGGAGTGAGTCAGCCTTTACTAAGTTCAGATAAAGGTTCAGAATCAACTAGTAAAACGAGTGCATCATCGAAGAAATGACGCCATAAAAGCCATTGATCCTAGTATCACTTTGGAATAGCTTTACGTATATTTTAAACTAATACCCAGATTGGTCAACAAAGTAAACTAATCTAAATGGTCAAAACTACATCGAATATTTGCAGAATACTAAATCTATTCGTTCGACATGGATTTCTTTTTTCGAAGATTCTGTAATTTTCCTCACAGGCTTTATCACGGCTATTATTAACCGTTCTGCTGCGTGTATCAACAAATAATGTCCACATTCATGACAACCTAACCTAAAAGTATATACTATGAGATTGGTTTACCAGGTTTTGCGGGTGTAGACGCAGCTGCACTTGCTGTGCCGAATGTAAACGTTGATGCTGTAGCCGGAGTAGAGGCCCCGAAACCGGTGCCAAAAGACATTGTCTTAAATAAATTATAAGCAGTCACAAATCAGATTATCGTCCACACAACACAACTTTCCCGCTTAACACTGCACCAACCCCTGAGCAGTAGAGCAGCTATACTCATCATAATGGCAACTTTTGTATACTCATATTTGAATAGTCATACAAGAAATCTTGAAAAATACAAAATACATTTAAATGCAAAAGTATATTAACATGTGCTAGCTTGATGAGCTTCAGATAGTGTTATTTATGACTTGTTTTTTTCCTAATGAATATAATTGTAATATATTTGTAACCATTTTTATGTAGTCTCTTTATTATTTAGACACGAGAACAAAACAATTTTCTTTTGTACAATATATTTCCAAACTTAGCATGGATTTATGTATTTTATTAAATAAAATAAATACGCATAGCGAGTGTAATTCATTTCGGTATTCTTTTCTTTTAAGTTTCACCATATTTGCCTACAAATTGGTGTTCAAGAAAAATTTTTTCGCTCTTGTGACTCTTCACATTCTTACAAACAATTGCTTAAAATGTTCACGGAAATTGCAATACTATTGCCGTTGTCTCACGATACACATTTATACGCATAAACTCCCTGTCATAACAGAACGAGAAAAGCAACAAATTATAATGCTTCTTAAACGACTTATTATACAGTATATAGTCCCAATTTCCTTAATGCAATATCATAAATATTATATTCTATATAAATTTACTTTCTTTAACGTCTCGATAAAATTTCTATCCATGAAACGGTATCCGTTTTGGCATTTCTTAAAAAGGTGTGTTAATGCATAGCTTTGAAAACTATCGCAAATGTTACTTGTCACGCACTCTTTTGTTTCTTTTATATTATTTTCTTTAGTTAATTCTCACGTTCTCTTGCAAAAACGCATAGGACTATTGATAATTATTAGCCCGTTTGAATGTGTGTTATTGCTTGTCTTTTGTGCGCAAATAATACACGTATCCTCTCGATCACAGGTCGATCAGCCGATGTGGTCTGTTTCTGAAATCAAAAATTTTGACAAGAACTGTTTTGAAATTGGTCAGGTAGAAAAATTGTAAAAACTTTTCAAGCGAATTCCATTCATCAAGTAATTTTTAAATGTGTTGCAAATATAATTATTATATATTGATATCTTTAGCAGCGCGTCAGCTAATTTTGATTAATTTGCATTATAGAAAATTCCATACCGATAATAACCATTATTCGAAATATGTTTTAGCAAGAAAATAGCGTGCTCATTATGGTCCGGATTCACAATTGGTCTACGCATACAGAGAATGCAGAAGGTATAATACCATTCCACAGGATTCTACTGTTAATTATAATTCCAAAATGGCATTACCTCATCAAGACTCCCAAATTACTTTATGAATGGCGTGCATATTCAGCAGAATTTAAATCTCGTTAGCATAGGCATTAGTAATGTATATCAACTACTTCATATTTTTAATTTTCGGTTATTTTTGTTCTTTAATTATTTTTCATATTAAAAAAAAAACATCTATTAATCATTCGACATTTACTTGATGATCGAAATGCGGCTAATTTGGGAGGAGACTTCATGAGGTTCACAACGCAACAGAGATATTGATAAATTCGTAATTATTTAGTATCATTTTGACTTTTTGTCTAACGAGATTTAACTGCGTTTTATATTAAATTTAAAAAATTGACATATAAATGACATATTGTCAGTCGGCTAGAGTTGTTATCTCTCGACATAATTGTTTACAAGCAGTGTTTTGAAATATGTTTATAAGCAGTGTTTTTGCATGCGACTGACAACATGCCCTGCTAAGTTACTTACAGTAAGAATGCCATTACACTTTTATATGAATATTTTGAAATTTCAAATGTTTTTCAAATTTCGCAATGGCCTTGTTGCTTATTATTGTTGTTACATTACATATCAGTGATAAAATAAAATATAAATAAAGACAAATTGAAGTTAATTACGTGAATAGATGATATAATGATACAAGCGAATGCAATCCATGTGTTCTCGATTGTGAATTAAAATAGAAATAAAGATATTTTTTTGTAAAAAAAATATGTTTATGTTTCGTACGTCTACACTTGTAAATTCATTGCATCTTTTAGTTTAATCAACAGGTCAAGTGACCACCTTGCCGCTGTTGAAAAAAAAGACTAGTAATGGTCGTAGAACAAAAAAAAATTTAACAGATTCATTAGGCCGAAACTCTGTTTAACGATTTCAAATTTGATGTCAATTTTCAAAATTATACTATCGCACATACAGTCACATTCGTTTTCTCCTTAGACAGTATGCATATTTAACATTTACCAACATTTATACGTCGAGATTACTACTACCATGTATCTCTTTTGACTATTCTAGAAAATCACGAGGTATAATTGAAAAGAAATTGATGAAAATGCGAATTGATTGAGATACCATCGCGAGCAGTCGAAGAATAAATATGCATGTAGTATAACTATGCATATGTATATATTATAGACACATCTACATCTTTAAAACCTGTAAAAAAATTAAGTAAACTGTAAATTCTCCAGGGGATTGTCTCGGATATTTTTGAAAAATTCGTATTTCGTTACTGCTGAGTTTAGAATTTAAAGATACGATTCGGAAAATTCAAAATCGGAAACGGATGCGCGGGACGATTTCGTGTACACAGAAAATCCCCCACCGATGGCACTATCTGACGTTGCTTCACCAGTAACAAAATCAGCAACTATCAGAGAATCCTTAGGAGCATTTCCACCAGGTCCAGTGCCTCCACCAGTACCGCCCTTAAGAGAATCCCTTTCAAAAAGTTTCTGTTTGAGAATACGGATCTTCTCTTCTTTCTGGAAGCAATGACATTTCAAAAATTCATTTATACCTGTTTCAGAGAAGTTTGCATAACTGAAATGGAAAACTTGAAACTTTTTCTGAAGAAAAAAAAGACAAAATATGGCGCCTCACCGCAGCAATTAACTTCTGCAACTCATCGTTTTCACCGAGGAGTTTCTGGTAACGCTCCTCATCTTCCTTGGACATTCCCACATCAGGATTATACTTAGACTCTGCTTTGTCACGTGGATGACGTATCACTTCAATGACCTTCGGAACGAAGATCAACGCCATGCTCAAAAAGCAGCAGAATATAATCGCCAGGGCAACGAACGCGAAACTTGCGTCTTGCTGACTGGCTATCACCATCGTGACTGGGGCAGTAATAACACATAAAACAACCACGTTGTAAATTGACATACCGACGTAACGAGAATCATTAATCTGTTTGACTTTGATACTGCGCGTTTCATAGGCCAGGAAGAGACCGAAAACTAGGATGACGCTCTTGTAGCCATAGATTAAACCTACCGATATTTGGAAGACACAAAATTTGAATATGTCTATAATCTGTATTAGTATTAAAAAAAAAAAAAAGAAAAAACAGTTGCCAACTTTGCCCAAGCTTACCAAGCCAAACGTTGTTGTGCTCGCTTTCACAGTGTTCCAATTCCGGTCTAATGCGTGCATCATCATCACCGGTCATCGGTGCTTCCAAAGGGAACATCTCAATCGTTCTCTGCAGAGGATCTAAACCTTGCCAAGCACCGAGAATAACAACATCAATCGCCAAGAGTGCGCTGACCATAGTATAAAGCTTCCACGGCTGTATTTTCTTCTGAATAGATGAAACTTTTTGTTTAGCCATAAACAGCTAGAAAAATGGAACGGTATTTCGATATGAGCAAGCTCGACTATCTCTCGTTACATCCAGATTTGTCTAAAAAGAAGAATTCATGCAGGAAACATTTCATAGCCGTGCAGATTCAATACATTATAGCGTCATGACAGTGACTTCACACAACAGGTATACGTACAATTGTGTTCAGGATTGATCAGTGCATCACGTTACATTGGATGGTGTGATATTGCTGTATCTGGCAAAATTGAGTTATTCTATTTTATTACCTTTGCCTGATCTGCTTTTGTTTTAGTAGTAAGACGATGCACACGCCATACTTTACTAAACATGGCACCAAAAGCGAGAGTAAATCCCGTTGATAGCATCCAAGCTCTTGCTTGACAAATTCCTGGATATTCCCAAGGTGCTATGAATCTTCCATCAATTCCTAGTAAAAAAACTGACACGAGACAGGCTATTACGCCTACAAGCATTATGGTGTTGCATACAGGATGAGAGGACATTATAACTCTGAAAGTAGAGAAAAAATAAATAGAATTTTTTGAAACTTATTAGTTTAGTAAAATCATTGAAGATTGTCGAACCTTCTATGTCGATTCCATATATTAAATATTATCAGAATGACAGCTATGAGGATTCCAGCTGATGATATTGTACCCATGCAGATAAACAAAGGCAATGATACTGTTCGTAAAAGTTTTTTTACTATTGTACGGTCTTGCGGTATTTTACCCCCAATCCATCTTTCCATATTACGCCAGGTGAGATTGTCACTTTGAGTATCATAATAGCCTAATTTTACATATTTTCCATCAATCACCTGTTCGATTTGTGTGAGAGCTATACGATCACCCTGTGAGCTGAATGCTACGTAACCCTTTAAACAGTAAGAAATGTACACTTAATTTATATAATATAGAAATTAAATTTTGTATGCAATCAACTTACAGACACTCCAAGAAATTGTGTGGAATTAATAGCTGAATAAATATCATCAGCAATCTCCTTATTTGTGTATGTAAAGTTTTTCAAACTCTTACCCAGTTTATTTAGCTTCTCCATAGTCTTATTAAAGGCTAAAATATGAGTAAAATTAAAAAATGCAATGCATACAAAAATTACTTGAATCTAATTAATTGCTAGTGTTCTTGTTAAACAAACCCAGTGCAACAGACCAGACAGCATCATAGGCCAAGGGAGCTTCCTGATATCCTTCAGGATATCGATTATTATCAATATCATAACCATCTTCCTTAAGCATTTTATTGAGTCTCTCCCTAAAATCTTCAGATGTCATACCACTTATAGTAGTTTGATTATTTTGATTCCACATTAGAGCCTCAGTAGTTAGATGTCCTTCTGCAGCTAGTCTCATCTGTTCCTTAGTGCATGGTATACCTTCCTTATCAAGATTCACTTCGAACCAATTATCCTCGTACCAGCCAATAAAAAACCACACATAACTTTTTCCATAAAGCTTCTGTTGGTAAAGTTCACACAAAACACGTCTTGCTGCCACCACGTAAAAAAGTCCCACAATTATCCGCGCATCTTGACGTCGTAGATTCCTCACAGCATCCGAAGGATCTGACAGAAAGCTCTGTCTGGTAACTATTTCAATTCCAGCTTCCTTACAACGAGCCTCAAGATCCTCCACAGTCTGCTCAGCAAAAGCACATTTCTTATTAATTTTTAACCTTACACTATGCATCTGTGATCTTATCATAAATGGAAGTTTTCATTTGTACATACAGAAATAAAGACTTCTTCAGCCTGTTGCAATATGGCCACGCGACTCCAGCCAAATTTTTGCAGCAGTTTTATTCTTGTAGGATTATGGACTGTAGCAGATGGATGTGTTCTAAATAGTGTAGGAAATCGATTTCTATCCGATAAGGCAGGAGACGATGCACCGTAGCACAGCTTCATATTTTTTAAAAATAAAAATTGTTTTTTATTAATTATCACTACTGTGCTCTTTCATAATGGAAATATTGACTAATAACGTTTAATATGCTTACAACTACTAAATTCCACATCTTTGCTGCTTCAGCTACGGTTGTACAAACTGTGCTGCATCCAGCTAATAACATGAGTTTCTGCGGAGTATTGTACAATAAATTGTACATTACTGAAGCACCGAGACCAGGTTCACACTGTTAAGAAAATAGTTTAAATGTTTTGAAAAATTAAAACAATGATATTCTGTATTTCTGTAATAAGACTAACTTCACTGTCATTGGAGTGCAGTTTCAATGTGAATCCTGGCAAAAGGTCTTCTTGTTGATTAACATCGTCAAGGGCAAGATTCGCAGCGGGCATACAAGCCTATAAATTATTGGAATTGCGGAAAGTTTCAATTGTAAACAAAACGGAGTCAAATAATCGTGATATCGAATGATAGCATACCTGTCCACCTTGCCAGCCACCTTCTCCAGCAATGGGAAAAATTCCACCAATATGCAAAACATTGTCTTCCGGTGGTAGGGAACCCTCAATGGGAATTGCCATAGACAGAATAAATATTAAAGGCAACATCTTATATATATTTTCGTGGCTCCGTGGACACATTGAGAATAACCAAATTCTCAAATATCAATCCCACCCTCAACTGAATGTAAATTCACTCATTTCAGTCTTAATTATTTTAAGGATAACTGATAATAAAATCATAAAAAATTTGACGAAGTAATCATGTTTTAAGCTAGATCAACTTAAAGTATACTATTTCTTTATGAAGTTTGTATTTTCTGGCGCTTTTTTCACTTTATTATTTGCAAATTATCGCCACTAAATCGTTCGTGCGATGCACTCGATATTTATATTTACTCACGGCCGAGAATTCGCGAATAAATAAAAGTGATGCACACAATTTATAACGTAAAAAAACAATGAAATTTTTTTGGAAAAAAGGGAATTTCGGTAAAGTGCTTCGTACTCTCTTATCGTACACACTTCATATTGATTTGATCTCAACTCTCTGAGTCGCGTGGTGGGGTCGTAGAATAAGGGTTGCATGTGCGCAGAGTGAAAATCTAAGAAAAGTAAATAGTTTGAGGCGACCTCATATTATAAAACAAAATCAATACAATATATTTAATTAAAATTAACGTGTCTGTATGCGATAAACGAGTGCATAATTTACATATAGAGTAAAACTTTCTGATCATAAGAATACATATATGTCTTTAAAACGATTTCCGTTCCCTTTGAATAATAAAAAGTTGAACTTTGTCGGTAAAACAGTAAGCCCAACCGAGCCAAAGTTTACCTGTGTTATCGCAATGGTCGGGATGTTGAAATATGTATTCTGTCAATTTCCAAATGAAATATAAAATATAAAGATAGTCTGTAAAAAATCGTGCCTTCATCATGTCTGCACAGCGTGCTTTACCACAGAGCAAGGAAGCGCTTCTAAAATCGTACACCACAAGATTGAAGGACGATGTAAAATCTATGTTAGAAAATTTCGAAGGTAACCTAATTTTAGAATATTTTACATTTCTTTAATGTTATTAAAATAAATTATCACGTACGTTTTACTTGTTCCATATAGAAATAGTGAAATTGGCTAAGGGTGAAAATGAAACACAGCTCTCAAGAATGACACAATGCGAACAGGACACATATGAAATGCATGTGCGTGCAGCAAATATTGTACGAGCTGGTGAATCCCTAATGAAATTGGTATCGGATATAAAGCAGTACCTGATTCTGAATGATTTTCCATCTGTGAATGAGGCAATAGCACAGAACAGCAAACTGTTCAGAACAAAGCAAGTAGAATGTGATCAAAAGCTAGCATCATTGAGGGATGACATGGCTGCAGATCTTTATGATCTGGAAGAAGAATATTACACATCCATATACAAGTGACATTGTCATAGAATTAAAGAATTTATTCATGAGCTTGTATCAGGATTTTGACCAATGTATTGTTATCTGAATGTGATGATATTCATCAAGACTGTATGATATTTATGCAAATAAAATTAATTTTTATATTATTCCTTGTTCTGCCATTATTTGTAGTACACCACAAATACTAGTTGATCTATCACGTTCCAATAAATTTCTTCTTTATAGTGGTTAGGAGGATTTTGGGTTAAAGATAACTTATATTAATAAATTGAATAAATTAAACACATGTGACAGTGATGGACTAATATCATGCGTTGCAATGACATCTTTGTACATGTGTATTAGTTTTATTACTTTAGTATTTTATAACACACAGGACAGATACATCACACGAAAATTCTAACTGGTAAGTGTGTTTATAAGATGTCAATATGAATCCATGTTTGAAGTATTAATTCTTAAACCTAGGTATAATACTTATTGCATATATCAACATTTATTCAGATTACTCACATTCTATTAATCTTTCAAACTGCACTCCAAAGAACGGGAGGCCAAAATTTCCCAAAAAGTAAAATTCCAAATAAAGACGGAAACGACGTATCTTTTTTTAGGAAAATAATAACACTATAAACGGACATGTATGTACGTGATTACAGATCTCTTTATATGTATGTATATACCTATACTGTATGGTACAAGACCAGTTCATATTAATTTTACGGGATAGTCAGTTTATTCTTATATTTTATCACTTCAAGGAAATTTATATGTAACGATTTTATAGTTTTTATACCATTTTAGGAATACGGAAGTTGTTGTGGCCAAGTGTTTGTTTTAGCCTAACGTCCCTGGCAAATGGCGTTATGTACGTTGAATATGGAGACAAAATATTTCTGGCTAAATCTCGAAAAATGAAAAATATTACAGCTTAGCAGTAATAAAGATTACGTGTTGAAGGTATTATATCAATAACGTGTACGTTGTATACATATTAACTCTTAACTTGTTCCCATAAACAATGACTTTATGGCGAAAAACAAACATGAAAATTTGGATTCAAACATCGATAAATTAACTATTGTAATCAATGAAACTTCAAAGACAATTAAATGCTTATAACAGGCATCGTAATGAAAACATAAAAAAGGGAAGAACATCCTTATTTTCTTTAAAAATTAATTTCCATAAAAACTTGAAGGAATATTTTTATCTTAAAGAGCTAATATTCTATTTTCATCGTTTTTTGTGGCGTGTCTTATTTTCCTTTTTCACTCATATTGTTCCACTTGATTCATTCTTTCAACACTATTTTTCAGGACATAAGATACATTTTAACGACAATGGCGCATCGAATTCTAGTCGTTTTCGAAAAATGAATAATAATGTAATATGTATACAAATTTCATCCAGAATTCACTTATAATAAATGAGTTCTCCACACTGGTGCTTCTGGCGTACAATTGCTAATGTTAGTAAATTCGAAAGAAATGAAAATAAAGGGAAAAATGAACAATGTAACATGATACTATCAATGTTTAATAGATGTTTGAATTAAGACAAAAACAAAACACGAACAAAGAATAAAATAAGAAATAAAAATAAAGGAAAACGGCTTTGGCATACAGAAACTCCGCATGGAATGAATATAAGCGATCAAATTAACGCGTTTCTTTTAAAAACGATAAACGGTTTCCTGCCAAGTTTCTCTTCTGAGCTGTGCAGTCAAATTTACAATTTTTTAATCTTTAAACGCCATTCTTGGGTGATGCCATTTAACCTTAAATACTCTAAGGTGACACTTATGGCCCTACTTTGGCAGTTTTCTTTATATCTAATCGGCCTACGGGAATGGGAGAACAGGGCGGGACGAATGTCTTTTTTCTCTTTTTTAATTTTTTATACAAGCATACACATACCGCAAAAACAATTTCCGCTAATTTCCTTGTCTCATTCTCACACATACACGCGTACCCTCATTAATTCCTAATTACTCGTAAGTTTAACTTCATGACGGCTATGCGACCCGATTTTTAATCGTACAATACACACAACGCTATGGACTTTTTAGCGACTTGACGAAAACAAAACAAAAGCTTTTAATCTCACGAAAAGAGTTCGATACAGGAGCAGCGAGAAAAGGAAAAGATCATATTAAATTGCATGAAACGGCACATAAAATCACTTGTACTCGTTGACTCGATGCCTGCGGGTAATATACAATTATGTATTAAAAAAAAATAAACGAAAACGAAATAATCCAAAAGAAAAACCTCGAAAGGAAGAAGAAAATTAAATGTACAATGATGCTGGTAACAGTGATATGTGCCTTGTATTTATATATTTCAGTAAATTGAACATAAACTTTCTTCGCGAATAACCGAAGAGTCAAATATTTCATTTTCTTTGAATTCTCGTTTTTTCTCTCTTCTCTTGACTTTCCTTAGTTCAACATTCAACCTCGCACTCTAAGTTTCTTTATTTCGCTTCTTACGCCATTAATGCGAACCTAGTTGGCAGTTTCGATGATTCATTGTATTACAGGAAATAGTTTATCGCAACGGTGCGTAATCACCCTCACAAAATCGACATGAAAACGCGTCATCGTGAGGTCATTTCCTTACTCATTGAAATACTAATATAAATGCATATACTTGGAATGATACTGTTTAACATTATTTACGCTTGGTCGTTCACACGTGCCCGACTACGTTTAATGCTCAAATTTTTCGAAAAAAAAAAAGGAGGAGGTATATATATATATATGTTCATCCTGCTTAAAGTTTGCAGGGTCGTAATCGCTTATCGTCGTTATCATTATTATAGAATATTCAAAATAAATTATAGAGGTCTTCCTTGGGAGACATTGTTCACTCAGAAAAGCATATCGGTGGTCGTTTCGGAACCCCAAGCTTCGCCATCTTGCGTAGGCTTCAAATAATCCACTTCTGTCAGGCTTTCCGGCTGTTGCGACGCACCGGTTGAACCCGAAGATATCGTCGTTGTTGTGACGAGGGCGCGGGTAACGCCGAGCTCGAAGCCTTCCGCCACCAGATCCACTTTGCTCGGTGTGTAGCTGGCTAGTCCACCTCCACCTAAGGGTCAAGCACTAGGGTTCATCTAAAAGCATACATCTAGGAGGCCGGCTAGAGACAAATAAGTAGACAAAATAGACAAAATTTCTACACAGCATATAGGACTGAACGTTTCTAGGGGGAAAACAAAAACATTTTCGTGGCAATGCGACTGTTATCATCAGAGTAGAAACGTATTTATACATATATAATAACGTTTATTCACGACTGAGCCATAATAGCCACTTTAATCCCTGAAAAGCAGGACTAAAGTAGCATTTAATTCCCGCATATTTGGTTTTCCCGCAAATTTACTTTATTCCCGCATTTTGCGGGAATAATGAACTTTATTCCCGCAAAATTTTGAATCTTTTTTTTTAATCTTGAAAATTATTGAAAGTTTTGAAAAGTCGAAAAATTTAAACATTTTGAATTTTTTGAATATTTGAAAAAACGTATATTTCCATCATAATGACGGTGGCTGAGTAAGTCCCACTTTTCAGGGAATAAAGTAGCTATTATAGCTCAGTCGTGAATAAAGCACTATATGTAACACGAGAGTAAAGTCGGTTATTCCCTCGGGTGATTTACTGCCCTCCCTTCGCTCGGGCACTATACTCTCACCCGCGGGAATAATCAACGACTTTACTCCCTTGTTGCATAATGTACTATATCATAATAGAAACATTCCTGTTTATCATTATATCCTCAAAAGATAAATAATCGCTTTTAGATAAAAGTGGACGGCAAAATTTATACCGATTTTGTTTCACTATTTTTGTTACTAATCCAGATAGCACAAACGAAGAAGGCCTCCGCCAAGACGTCATTAGAGGATCTTACAGGTGCCTCACGTCTTTCTGACACATCTATAAGATGTCGAAGCCTATGACACAAGATCTTCTGAAGACGTGTTATTGGTACCTTCGTAATTTTTGCTATCTGGGTATTTGCTGTCACGATAAGACTGATAGCAGGTGGTGACAACCTAGCAAGTGTGACACAGAAACACCAATGATTAGTAAAAGAAGTTAGTTACACATAATAATAACAACAGTTCGATTTTAGATTATCTAAGAGAAAAAAAGGGAGATAAAGTTGAAAAGACACTGGCTGATCTATGTATATCTAATAAGAGAAACTGCACAGCCAGTAGGTTGAAAAAGTAGCCAAACCTTGAAGTTAATGATGCCATTAAAAATGATTTAATGATATCGATGCTTATTGATAATATTGTACAAGTACGTAGATAAGTGCAAACAAGGAGCGCAATCACGTAATTCCAAGTAGTGGAATTGATCGATAAAGCAAAGTTCTTACGATAATAAGTGACATAACGGCAAAAGGAGAAGCACAGAGACACAAAACCACAAAAATATATCTCATTGGAGTCTATCCAAATCTAGTGAAATTTCGAAAATAAAAACATATAACCGTTATCGTTTAATACATGGTGGAACAATTCTACACCAAGGATTCCTCAAGGGGATCAAAATCCAGATGAACCTCTAGATCCATGCTTAAGTTAGGTTTATCGTTATGGCTGGTTTCTGTAAAAAAAAATGTTCACGCATTTTCCAAAATTCCTAACGATAACGATAACAGATTTTAGTAGGACAAATTATTTATCATTAATCTACTACGCGACACAGTTAGTAATGAATTGCATCGTGGTCAATGTTAGTCAAAGGAAAAAAATGCAAAATTCCTTTATTTTACTTTCTGTTCAACACTTACCGAGTAACGAAGGTAAACTTGTAGATGCTGATCGATTGCCGAGCGTGGCTGCCGTCGACTGATCACCGGAAACGGAAGTGTCGGCATCGACACTGGTGCCCTCGAATTCGAGCATAGAAGCCTCGCTGGGATATTCGAACGTTCTCGTAGCCGTATCGTCAAACTGTATCCGATGCTAAAACAACAAAGTTTCAAATGTCGCATACCGAGCTGATTACCAAATAAACAATTATTTATTGTCCTTAACGGGTGGAAAATCTACTCGTACCTTTTCATCAATATCGGCCGATATTGTTACCATAAATAATTACTATTCGTCATATACAATTAACGGTATTCAAGAAGAGGCCATCCAAACTTAAAGACTCAACGAACGCATTATTTTCTGATACCAATTAAGAATGCGCATTCTCATGAAAAAAACTGTGTACTATTAATCGCCGCCGTAAAGTCGAACACAGCCTACTACCGGAGACTACTAAACAACCAAACGCCGGAAAACGGCCAGTTTGCAGCAGCAATGACAGGGTGGGACCACAACGCCGCGATGTTAATTGGCCTGACAAATAACATATGTAGATATCAGCACCATCTACAATGTGACTTGATGAAGAATCGAAAAAACCGATACAAAAAACGCAGGTACTATTCCATTGAAAGATGAATGTAAAATAGGAAACACTGTTTCCTTCGGCAATACCAAATTTATTAGAGTCAGAAAAAAAAGTACCAGTTCGTCCTGGTTACTTATTTCATTGTCCCCCGTAATGTAAAGATAATGCACAGGAACGGTGTTTTGATAAATCAAGAAAAATATATTATATATGAATAAAGAAAGGGTAATGACAGTGACCACTGAATGTTAAGCCAGCGTAAAGTGTACAAAACTAAAAGTGTCACGAAAACGTGTGCTAGGAACGAGCGTGTAACTTCCCGTTGTACTTGAGTCGATGACCTTTACCAAGTTGGCAGCCTATTTTCATTGCTAATTACGGGTCACTGGATCGTGTCATCGTGACTCAGAGGAAGACGAGTTTAACTTCGGTCAATGCGATTTTTCAACTAGCGCCCACTTCTGGGATTAACAGTTCTGAGCACACAGGAAATCAAAGTGGCCTAACAATGCACCGGCATCTTTTTATGGTGCTATCATAACTTAGCTTATAACAGTATCAGCCATTATTTCAAGTAGAGTCAGTCCGAAGTGGACGGCTAGCTTAATTAAATGTATCCACCGTTCCTTTTGAACCTACTATGACTAATGTTATCATTAATCCATCACGCAAGAGTCCAACATCTCAGAAAGACGTTTGATCCTTCAATGAACAACACTCCTTCACAATAAGTACACGTCAGAGCCAGCAGACTTTGCATTACCGTCTCGAGTGCTACTTCTTACATGCGCCTCGCGAAAGTCAAACTCCGTTCAACTTCATCTTTAGTAAATTTTGCAATCTTAGACCGAGCACCAATCATGCACTCGTGCCCAAAAATTGGAAAATTTATAAAAATTTATATAAAAGTGCAGTTGATAAGTTCGCCTTCTACGAGCCTCATATAACAATCTTGTGCTGGATATTAAGAAGTTTTTTTTAATAAAAAAAAAAAAAAAAAATACTTTATAACGAAATCGGACGACATTCCTCATAGCTGGTTTGTCTGGTTCACCCCACAGACGCCATAATGGCGTTACGCTTCTGAATCGAGATATTAACCGTTATGTCGAGTCGCATATCTCTTCCTGCAGATGGCAACACTGCTTGTCTATTTGAATAAGAGGAGAAATGACCTAGCCCCGGGCGAAAAAAAAAACCACTCATATACACATATGGATAAGCACAATTTATACATGACTCGCGACAGTTCAAATAATGAAAACGGTATCCACAATTGTGCTATAGTATATGCAAAATATATCTACGCTATACAATATAACGTGATATAGCAGACATGCGTGCGATAAATGAATTTCAACGTAGGGTTAAGATACGCACACGCACCTACGTCATATACAATCTTTGCTGGCTCAACTATTCGATGTCCTATGTGTATAAGAGAGATGAGAAAAGGAATACAAATGAAAAAGATAAACACGCGCCGAGTCAGCATTCGTGCGAATGACGATGAGTCGTTATTATTAAAATATACACAAGGTGGAAGACAATAGGAGGCGTACTCTGCTGTGTACGGTTCAAGCAGGGCCGAATTTCCGTTGCATAATCGTTTCGATCATAATCGCCATCGTCCGCAAGGTCGTCGAGAAAACGCATCGTAACATTTTGAAATTCTTATTAGCTTATTTTGTTTTCTCCTCTCTCTCTCTCTCTTGTTTATCAATCGTCACGCCAAATGCTTGTTGCAAATCGACAGCAAGGTGTCAACTTTCTCACTGCTTTGACATCGCGCAACCTTCGTGATATCCCTTGCAGGTTATGTTTACGCGGCAAGTAGACACATAATGTATTCGATAACCATGCTATTTGTGTGTCCGTTTAGCGTTACAGATCGCTTCTATGTATTAGTCATTCATATGGAATGTGAATAGCAATTTAACTGTTTGTATAAAATATCAGTAGGCATTTAAAGTACTGTGAATGCGTGTGTTTACCTATAATGGCCAGTCTCGCTGTATGATCTAACGTAACCTAAAATTACCTTGTATACACTAAATACCACTTTTATAGGCACAAAGAGAACGAAGGCTATTGATTGCATGATTAAATATCTGCTAAATACGCTGCAGTCCATTTTTCTAAACTTGTAAGCTATGTGTAAGCATACGTGTATATGCATAACATTATACTTACAGCGAAGGACGTAAATATTCGCACGATAAAAAGATCGTCATAAAATGAACTGTAAATTTCTAAATTCATTTTTTTTCGACAAAACACGTCTATGGTATGTTACACTTAGTTAGACTTTAATATAAGCAAATATAAAGTATTAGACGTTTGAATGCAAAAGTATACTTGAAATTTAGCAATTATTTCTGTCTAATCAGTGTACATAACATATACAGAGCCTTTAACGATTCTCTGTATTAAGGCAGTACGGTAGAATTACGCCAGAAAGTTGACCGTACATCTTTTAATTCGGTTTAATTTCTAATCGAAAGAGCCCAATCAGCTGCGTCTGCTGGCTCAGAACAAACTTTGTTTACCGTCTACTTAAAGAGACATTAATTATTAAAATCGGGCAAAATTAAGGTGGTAGGAAAACAATGGTTGTATTTAGTCAGATGTCCGTAACTTTCGCAAAAGTTAGCAGGTTAACCTATGCATTAGAATATATTTCCAGATGGCTTGATATCTGAAGCGTTCACTGTAAAAAAATGAACATCGTTTACCGTATACTTATTGAGAATTTACTGTTAAACGAGACGCATACGGCGACTATCTATCTTTCACGCGCTCTTTTCCCCACCCGAAAAGGCTATAGAAAAAATGACGGTGCAGATTTGGTCGTTCCAGTAAGCAGTATAATTTATTCATCGGAGTAACTATTACTCGCTAGTATTAAATCCACATTTTTAATATTCATATTTTTCTATTTGCTTTATCAAATTAACAAATTATATATGTATATCTATTGATCTGACTTCAGTCAAACTCTACCATGCTACCTCAATAGACATTATTTTGCGTTTCGCGCAAACCCTCGACCCTTTGTGTAATTTTTCACACGGGTTAGACGCATGCGCGTCGATTCTATTTGAATTTAAAACTGAGAGAAAAAAACCAATTGAAAGCGTATGTACAAAATACATAAAGAGATCTGAACTTTTTGAAATTTACGACGAATAAAAAACAAATTATCGGAGAAATATAAAAAATAACGAAATAGATATTTGCGTTCTTTACGACTATTATTGACGAGCCTTAGAGTTGTTCGCGCGGAGAAACCGTTCGATACTCTCTCGATGTTAAACCGGATCGTAAAACTCGTCGATCGTGCTCGCGATGCTCAGCAGATATTCAAAAGATATCGAAGACCGTACCGAGCGATGCGAATTGTCATGACCGTCACGAATTTCAATGGATCTCGCGCCCGAGATGAATTGAAAGTATGTGTACGAGAAAGACATAGAGAAAGAGAGAACGAAGAAAAATAATAATCAAATAGTAATTAGGTATGGTCATCAACTGTTCGTAATAGCAATAGGTACGCTCATCTCATTGTTTACATCTTTACCCGTAAATAGAGCAATGAATTTAATGGTCCCCCGGATGTAAACGAGAGAAACAAGTCGGAACGACCGATTTGAGCATTTAGAATCGAGCAGCTGCGTCTATTTCAGTTTTTTAAGCTTTTTCTCCGCTTTTCATTTATAAGTGTCGTCCCTTCCACTGGTGCTACAACTTACTATCTATGGTCTACGACTTCAGGAATCACGACAGTAATTACTAGCCGCGAGTCATTAATAATTGAGCTAATCCATGTTAATCGCCTTTAACCCTTTCAAATCGGATTTTATAAGACACATTTAGGAACTTGTTTATGTCTTTCTACGTATAAATAAAGTTATATATCAAATAAAAAAAAAATACATTTTAGGTCCTTAGGGGTGATTGTATACATCCCATAAGACTTATTACTAAGGACACCATCAACCCGCCAGTACGTATTTAATCTCATTAATCATCCATAGTCTGTCCTTCTAATTATGCCAACTAAAGTTTTAGCACAGATAAGCGGAATAGCACCGTATCTATACCGCAACTTAAGGAACTCTTTGAATTCAAACACATACACGTATGGCAGATAAAACGAGTAAAGTGTGGATACGCCAGCACCACGTGGGGCCAAAAAGCGATCTATATTTATCAACAAGCGAGTCAAGCTGCTTGGAATACTTTTTTTGTATTGTTCCGACGAAATAGGATGTACAACACCTATTTCGAACTTTTGACGCGCAAGCATACACTCTGTATACAGTCGATCCACGAGTTCAATAGTTTTTTGACAGTTCGACAACAATGAAGTCTCTAGTCTCCGACACGTGGTTCTGTATAAAACGGTCGTTACAAAGTATGCTTGTGCGTCGTTTTACATTGAAATATATTCTATTTCTTATCTCAGCGTATATTTTTATTATTTATGGCAAGCTAGGTATGATTTTCTCAAAATTCCACTGCCCGCGAACTGTCAAATACCACATCGAACTCGCAGACCGATTATACGTTGATGACAGTTTGTATCTATATTTATCTTGCGAGAGAAGTCACTCTCTTTACCTTGTGATTTCTTGGTTGCCTGGAGAGATTACTATGGCCATTTATGAGAACGTTGTCGTTGGCGAACGAGACGTCGCAGGGCGACGGCGGTCCGCCGGTCATTTCCCATTCGGCCTCGTCAGTGGTGGAGCTGTCGAGCGTGGAATCCAGGACGATGATTCCACCATCTCCAGCCTGGAAAAGTGGAGCTTTATTCAGAACCGACGATTCACCACATTTAACTTTTATAGGAATAAGCATGTCGAAAAGTGTGTGGGTGCGAAGAGAAAGAGAGGGGGCAAGTTCTGAGAAGAGAGATGAACATTGAGTTCTTAGTGATAGACTTGTATTCGATAGTCACGCTCGATCCAACGGAAAATTATTAAGACCTTCGATTTTGAGTTATCTGTACCATGAATGGGGATAGGAGAGAGTTATGTGCATTTATATGTATAAGAGTGAGAAGAATGTAAATAGAAATGTTGAACAAATATCTTGACCTATTATCGTTCTTTTATTAATTGTCACTGTACAAAAGTAACGACAGAAGTAACAATCGTGACTCCAACAAAACTAACTCGTTTTATTACACGACCAAATAAAAATTGGGAAAGGAATATTGTTAAGGAAACCAACAGACGGGCACTAGGATACGGCGGCATTGGATAGAGAAAGGAATTCGTGAAGTATTTATATGAAAAACCAAAACTGGTTTTGTCGACCAGTATCCTACGCGCTTAATGCAGGTAAGAGCAACTGTTCTCTTAAAATCCTCATGTATCTCTATTTTACGTAATCCTACTAATGAATTTCATAATTATTGATGTCATAGGACTTATTAGGGTTCCGGCTTCCAAAGCCCCTCTGCCTTCCCTGATTTGTCAATTCAGTTCAAACTCGAAGGATTCTACGAGCATTGCGTGAAAAGCAGCAATAAAGTAGAAAACAAGACACGGTGGCGTAACGGAATAGGAAAAGACGTAAGAGAATGGCTCGAGCTGTTTTTGGTTTGAGGAGAAAATCTCGACAGCAAAAAAAAAGAAAGGAGAAATAATGGAGAGAGACGCCTGTCGAGAAATTAATTAAGCAATTAATTAATTTTTCCGTTTCGCGACATCCTTATTGAAGTTCCGTTCTACATCCGTTATCCCCACTTTTACGCTGTCACTGTCTCTTTTCCCATCGTACAATACGAATTCAATTTCGTAAGAAAGTATTTCTCTTTCGCCCTTCTTACTTTTCAATCCCTCCCTTCCCCATCC